TCTCAGTCGGATTTCTGCCTTTCTTGGGGTGGGGTTCTTTACCCTCCCTTTATGACTTTTTATGTTTAATGTTTAGCTGACTTGTCACATGTAGACTGGAGTGGTTATGCCTAGATGGTTATGATAAAGGGTCTAAAAACTATTGACATGCTCTCTGAGCGCAATATGCAAGTACCTATGACCTGTATTCTTTGCTTTCAAGCTGAGGAGAGCCATAATTACCTCTTTTTGAGTGTGACTTCTTCTATATCATTTCCTCTTTGTTGCCTGATTTAAATAGTTTCTTATTTAGGCCTAACTTACATCAAGTTTTGAATTTTATCTCAACTTTAAATATTGGTAGTCATTATAAAAACCTTTTTTTCCTTGCTATTTATTGCTCTTTATATTACTTATGGAGGGAAATGAACAATAGGAAATTTTCTGGCAACATTAGTTGCTCCTCGACTGTTTGCCTGTCTTATTAAAAATGCTGTTATGGCTAAAATTGCTAAGTGGAGTTCCTCTCATGACATTAAGCATTGTTATTAAGTGAGGTTGATTTTATTGGAGGGTGTTGGCTAGTGTTGGTTCTCTGTTGGCTCGTCGATTCACTTTTTTGTCTTGATTATGATGTTTGGTATCTTTTTGGGTGGGCTGTGGATGATTTTGCAATTACTCTTGCTTATGATTTTTGCTGTCTCTTTAACTTAATGTTCTTCGACTAGTTGAGGTTGATGTCCTGTTTTGATTTTTGTGGCTACTATTTTGAGCTGATCTAGCTTTCAGCTATGATGCTTCTCTATTTAATGGGCTCTTTATGGACGATGATGAATGGTGTATCATTGATTTCGCCCTTTGGGAGGTTGTCTTGGCAACTAGCTTTCATTACTTGGAAGGGCAATCCCTGGCAACCAAGGGTCTATTCTTTCCTATGGAAGTTTTTTTCATGCTAATGTTCTTTAGCCCATTCTGAGTCCATTTTTTGGGTTCTCTTGTTTTTCTTGTATTAACCAGTAGTTGTTTTTGTTTCCTGTTGTTTGGGTTGCAGCTTCTTGTAGTTTTTCTTTTAAACAAGTTGTAGTTGCTACCTCACATGTAACTATTTTTTATTATTGAGATGGGCTCTGCCCCAAAATTTTCTAAAAGAAAACTCTACAAATTAGATTTCTTTGTACCCTAGGAGAATTGATGATGTCATTTTACCCTACTTTTGAGTTTAGTTGTGCCTTGGTCATTTTGTCTTTATCCATCTTTTTCTTGGGTTATGCATCCCTTTTCTGTGTAATTTGAAGTTGTTTATTTTTGTCGTATGATGTGTTGACACTTGACACTCCTCCCTAAGGAGACATGCAATGGCCCAAGTTTGTCAGATGTGGACACATGTTCGACACACCTCTGATATGTGTTATACATGGCAAAGATGTGTCCAATTAAAATATTATTTAAAAAAAGATGTGCATGTCCTAAATGTTTTATTAAAAATTTATTTTTAATTTAGGAGATTGCAAAGTTTTTTCTTTATGAGCAAGAATTAGAAGCAATGATATTTAATGATGATGATATTGAAGGCTAAAGATAAATATATGATGAAGAAACTAATTTATTAATTTCTTTAATGAATAGTTAACTATTGTATCTTAAATCTTGATGTTGTACTAAATAATTTATGCTTATTTTTTGATATCATAGGCTTGACAATTATTTATAGACAATTCAACTTTACAAAGTTAATACTAGAGTTTAACGATTTATTATTACGTTATTATTTTTAATATTTTGCTTATTTAATTACTATGCACTATTTTTAAGATACAAAAATTGTAATGTCGTGTCCAACCTATATACATATCTTATATTTCAATAATTGACATATATCGTCTTTGTGTCGTGTCACGTCCATGTTTGTGCATTCTTGTCTTTGTCAAATATCATGGTTTGCTATTTTATTTGTCGTTTAGGAAAAAAATTTTTTATTGTTGTTTGTCTTAAAATTGTCTTGTTGTTTTAGATAAGGCCTACTAGTTTAAGTACTAAGGATGGGAATCAGTGGGAGGCTCACCTGGATCGTGCCTATCTTTGTGAAATCCCAACCGTTCCTTAACATTGGATCCCACGACGGCTAGGATAAGAATCCGTGGGAGGCTCAACTGAATCACGCAAGTTTCCTTCCATATTTGGGTGGTTGATTTAGGAAGGATTATATTAGGCCAATTATGCATGATTATGTAATTATTTATTAAGATATCTTGTATAGATCTATAAATAGGGATAATTTTGTGCAATAAAATTAAGCCTTTTCCCTCTCCAATTCTCTGAATTTAACATGGTATAAGAGCCTTCATTGTCGTTGTCGGAATTTTGAGTTTTTTTTACTGTCGTGCCTTCATTGTCACTGCCGGAATTTTGAGTTTTTTTACTGTCGTGCCTTCATTATCGACCTTTCCTAGTTGTTGCTATCCTATCTATAACCAACACAATCTTCATTGCTGCCTTGCTTGATATAGCCTTCATTGCTATCCTTTGCCGCCGCAATGTCTGAAGCAAATTCCTCTCAAAGCTTTTGTCCAAATGGAGGACTCTATGGTGCACTAAGGAAGAGGAGATCTCCAAAACATACTACTTTCCTATCGCTTAAATAAGAAGAATTATTTGAAGTGGTCTCAATTTGTGAAGACCTACTTGAAAGGAAAAGGAAAAATGAATCACCTTCTTGGGGTAGGACTAAAAGATCCTAATTTTTGGGCATGGGATGAAGCAGAATCCATGGTCATGTCATGGTTGTAGAATTTCATAACTCTAAAAATTAGCAATACTTTCATGTTCCTATATACTACAAAAGACATGGGATGCCGTCAGATAAATCTTCTCAAAAGCTCGGGATGCTGCACAAATCTTCAAAATTAAAGTTAAGTTAGGGAGCACAAAACAAGGAAGCATGACCATGATTGAATATGCCACTCCTTTAAAGCTTGTGGCAAGAACTTGATTACTACATATGCACAGAGACCAAGAGTCCAAAATATGATGCTATCCTAAAAGCTTCTTTTAGAAAGATATAATGTATGACTTTCTTGTAAGATTAAATACGGAGTTTGACCAAGTTAGAGTTCTGATCCTTGGCAAAGAGGAGACACCCTCATTAAATGAGATCATTTCTTTCATTCGTGCTAACGAAAGCCAACGAGGGGTAATGATGGAACCAATGGTTGCTGAAGGTTTAGCAATTGTGATGGGCGAAGAGGCGTCATGGAAGGAAAGATGTAATGATTCTTCAAAATCTAAAGACAAAAACTCACTTTGGTGCAACTTTTGCAAGAAATCTAAACACACAAAAGTCATGCTGAAAGTTACATGGAATGCCCCTGAGTGTTCCAACCACATCTTAGAAGGTTTGTCTTGGTATTCTTTGATGACATCTTGATATATAGCAGGACAGAGACATAATGCTGGGAACACTTGAAGACAATACTGGAGACCTTGAGGCAGCTTCAATTGCTCTCCAAATGCAAAAAGTGCATGTTTTGGGCTATCATAGATGGAGTATTTAGGACTTGTTGTGTCTAGAGAGGGGGTGTCAGCGGACCAATCCAAGATTCAGGCCATGGTGGACTGGCCTCTTCCTTAGAACTTGAAGGAGTTATGGGAGTTCTTAGGTCTCATCGGTTACTACCGAAAATTTGTGAAGGGATACGACACCATTGTAGGACCCTTGATAGAGCAATTGAAGAATGACAACTTCAAGTGGGGGGAGGAAACAACACGAGCTTTTCAGAAGCTGAAGAAAGCTATGATTGGTATGCCAATACTGACGCTCCCAAATTTTGGGAGATCATTTGTGGTGGAGATAGATGCATCAAGTTAGCTGGTTAGAAGCAACACTCATGCAAAACCAAAGACCTATTGCATATTTCAGTTAGGCGCATATAGCCAGGGCAAAGCTTAAATCAGTGTATGAGCGGGAGCTGATGGTGATTGTCTTGGCGATTCAGAAGTGGTGGTCCTATTTTTTAGGAGATATTTTATAGTCAGGACAGATTAGAGGAGTGACGTATCTGCTGGAGCAGGGGATGGTCGCTGAGGAGCACTAAAGATGGCTATCCAAATTGCTGGGATATGATTTTAAGATCCAGTACCGACCGAGCTTTAGAAAACAAAATAGTAGATGCCTTGTCCTGAAGGGTCGAGGAGCTATAATTGGCAGCCTTATCAGTACTAATGATTTTAGGCTGGGAAGCATTGAGGACAGAGAGTGAGCAGGATGAAGGGTTGAGGAAGATCATGGAAGAGTTGTTAGAAGACTCAGACAGTCACCCCAGATATGTTCTGAGGGGGGACAACTACTCTACCAGGGGAGATATGTACTCCCATGGCACTCAAGTTACATGCCCAAGCTTTTGCAAGAGTGTCATAGAAGTGCAACAGGGGGACACGGAGTTCAAAAGACATACAACCAACTATCTGCTAAGTTATTTTGGGCGGGAATACACTGGGATGTGGAATATATGGTAGCAAGGTGTGATGTGTGCCAGAGGCATAAGTACCTGACTATGGCACCAGGGGGGTTGCTACAACCCTTAGCTTTGCCTGAAAAGGTTTGGGAGGAAGTGACCATAGACTTTATTGAGGGTTTGCCATGCTTGGAGGGATGTTCAGTGATATTGATGGTGGTAGGCCGACTGAGCAAGTATGCCCCTTTTATTTTGCTGAAGCATCATTACACCACTATTTTAGTATTGTTTGTAGTCCCTAAACTTAGGCTCCATATTGTTTGGATTGTTATTGTAGCATGTACACTATGAAAGAATATCTATAAGGTCACTTTATAAGATCATTTGATGCGCTAAAAAAATGTCAATACCATCTGAAGGAAGGAAATACATGAATAATGCCTGTGAATGGACAAAAAGAACAAATAAATAAATAAATATGTATATATATATATATATATATATAGACAAGAAAATAAATGGAGCTGCTTGAGAAACAAGCTAATGCTCATTTTGTTGTTTCTACTTCAGGAAAGACTTCTCAGCAAGACAAGGCATTGAATAAACCTGTGATTTGGTCCTGCTACATTTGCACATATGATAATGAACAAAGTTTTCTGTCTTGTGAAATTTGTGGAGTTCTTCGTGACCCCTCTGTTGCCTCTGGCAAGGCAAGTGATGCAAAAGGTACTTTTTTTTTAGCTTTTATTTTTCATCATAGTGTACTGTCTTTAATAGCTATATCTTGTTGGTGAGCATGCCCTGTCTGTGTACTTAAATGTATATTATTTTTGTTGCTCTTAAAATGTCGTTTCCTGCAGTAGATTGTTTGGACAAATAGGTGCTTGTAATGACCGTGTGCTGATGGAGATGATCACAACCAAAATCAGAGCTTTTTAATTTTCTTATCTGTGAGCCTTCTGAAAGTAAGAGGGAGGGAGGGAGGAGAGGGCAATCATGCTCTTCATATTCAACAACATTATCATCAATATTACAAAGATAAGGGTTACTACGCCATAGCTTACATACCTATGGATAATATTTAAGTGACATAACATGGAATAAAAATGAAACATACAATAATTATGAAATGTGACATGACACAAGGCTTAGCCATCATGTTGTGCTTTGGTTCGCCTTGCTTCTGTAACATACATTTGATGGAATTTTTCTTTACAAGAAAGTTAATTTTATGGAGGAAATTTGGTTCTTTCCAAGATCAAAGATATGCAGGGAGGGCGGTGTTGGTGGTTTGTGGATGCCAGTTAGTATGGCTTTAAAGTTTAAGCCAGATTTATTATATTCTCGCAGGGAAATCTCAAAAGGACCTAACAGTAGAAAGAAATAATCTCGCTGCTTCCCTTTAAGAAATTCTTATCTTAGGAGACTTGCATGCAATGATTGTTTTCTGATATGTACATAAAAAAAACTTTCTCAAAACATGAACACAAAAGGGAAAATAACAATTTCTTGGAGAATCTGTTTTTATGACACAAATTTTTAGGATCATGTTCTTGTGATAAAATATAAGCATGCCATATAAAAGATATCAGTCATGATAAGTAGGATTTTGAAGTGTTGTTCGTGCGGCTAAGTTGCATTTGTCAAATCAAATTGAACCCATCTTGGGTGCCTACCAAACAAAGTTGCAATCTAGAACATTTATATAGATACTTATACATGTTTCCAGGGACTGTATTTCCATTGTAGTTTACTCGAGAAATCTTTGGTCCTTCCCATCCTTTTTTTTTTTCCTGTTGACCTGTCGAATAAAAAAAAAAGAGAGATCGTGCATACCTGTCCTGTGCCGAACCTCGCACGTCGTCGCCATTCCTCCCACGATCGAAGTCGCTTCTCGCCATACCACTACGACCTACTCGCATCGTTAAATAGCGAAGGAAGCGAAGGCCCCGACTGTTCTTCTCCCTCTTCCTCTCGCATGCTACTTCGGCCCTTCGTTGTCGCACAGTTTCCGCTCCTCCAGCGACTTTCCCTTCCTGCGGATCGGACGTTACGACACTTTGGTCAGAAGCAACATTGGAGCTCACTTGCTGTGGAGGAAACTTTCTCTCTATCGGACGCTCCTACAGCCTTCATTGTTGTTCGACTTTGTAGCTTCGACGACTTTCCCGCCGGATCGGAAGTTGCAACATTTTGATCGGACGAAACAAATGGAGTTTGCTGCTTCCACGACTCTCCCTTACGATATTTTGGCGGAAGCGACAAGGGAGCTCGTCGATCGTGAGGGTAACTTTCTCCCTAGCCGAGCACTTCTTCGGCTTCTGTGTAGCCGTTCGACTTCGCTTGTTCGACGACGTTCCTTCCTGTAGGGACAGAAGTTACGACATTTTGATTCAAAGCAACGACGGGATCTCGCCACTATGAAGGTGATTTCTCCCTTCCGAGCGTCTCTTCGACCAAATCCAGTAAATTTAGATTTTAATTAATTATAATAATTATCAATTATATTTAATTATAATTATAATTAATTAATTAACTATAATTAATTAATAATTAGTGATTAATTATTAATTATAATTATTTTGGTTAATTATAATTATTCATTAATTAATTATAATTATAATTAATTTACTTTTTATAATTAATTATTAATTATAGATTATAATTAATTAATTATTATAAATAATAATAATAATAAATGTGCTCCTCCCGCCTCGATCCATGAGCCTCCACCGCCGGTTCATTAGTCGCCAAGGTATAATTTCTAAAACTTAATCCCTCTCTTACCTCGATGTGTGTGTCGAGCCTGTAAACCACATATACACGCTTTTCTTAGCGTAGTAGGAAGGAACCTGGTGCGACACCTACGACGGGGTAGGTGAGCAGCCCTTGAGCCCAAAATATTGTCCTCGATGTGTGTGACGAGCCGGTTAACCACCTATACACGCTTTTCTTAGCGTGGTAGGAGGAAATCCGGTGCAACACATATGCCGAGGCAGGTAAGCCTAATGCACGCTTTTATTAACGTGGCTAGGATAATCTTAAGTATCCATATGCGGCTTTGTACCTGCGGGGAAACAACTATTTTTCTCTTGCAACAGGTACCTGTAGAAGACCCATACACGCTTTTCGTAGTGTGGTGGGGGATGAAGAAAATACGACAGTGGTGTCCTCGTCCGAGGATAACTACCATACACACTTTTCTTAGCGTGGTGGGAATGCCCAGTTTCCCGTAGTTTTTCCCTAAACAGGAGAGACGTCGGGAGGCTGCCGAAATTTCGGTTAAAAGTAAGACTGCATTTGGACATGGTTTGAACTTAAGAGAACAAGAACTTGGACTCAAATGAATAGTGGACTTGAGGACCTGAACTTGAACAAAATCTAAATGACGAATAAAAGGTCAAACCCAAATAAAATAAGATCAAACTAGAGCTAAATTCAAATTAATTTGAACATGCACCTGAACTTGCAAGGACTTCAGAAGATTTTGAACAAGCACTTGAATTCACACTTGAACTCGGACTATACAACATTAAGTGGGACTTGTAAACTCGATGAACTCAAGCTTAAATGAAACTGAACTTGGAATCAAACATATACAAAGAACAAAGCTTGAATCATTTACGAGGGAACTCAAATTACAAGAACATTTGTACAGTCAATAGTGACTCAATGTCGGATGAAATGCATTAATCCTTGCAAATGAATGTGACTAAGATGTGACAAATACAAATGACCGTGAGCTCTTGTAGGAAGGATATTGCAACATCCTCATAACCAACATCGAGGTACAAGCAGCCACACTGCAAAACCTCATTGCACATAAATAAAGAATGTAGTGGACTCTTACAACAGTCTCTACGAGATCAGGTGCATCGTACCTGCAAGAACAACAAATGATTACAGAATGCATGTGTCCTATATGCGCTGTTGAGATCTCCAACACAAGCAACAATGCATGTAGATTGAGATGGCAATACTAGCACTTGATAGTGGAAAACTCGCCCCTACAAACAAGTACAATCATCATACCACCTGAGATTGGTGAAAGGTGAATATGATGCAGGAACAATGGCTTCTCTACGAACACCTCCAGGAAGTCGTAGTGAATACAGCGGGCCCCCGTAAATACACACGAGCCACTTATGGATAGCAATAGTGGGTATATCGTAAGCACAACAAACCACTATGGACACAAGTGTAGATATCGCCTATAACAGTGGTGATTGAGATTCACATGTACGTCGGGTTTGAAGACAACTCAATATACGAAGAAGGATACCTTCTGGTGGAATGGAAGAGGTGTTTGAACAAATTCAAACTAAACTTCATGGTGTTCCAAAATTTCTTCTTGGTCCTATACCTAGGAAGAAAACAGTTTTGGTATCTACAAACATTGGAAATAACAAGTCTACTACACTGAAGATCTTAAAATGAGTTCTTTTCAAAGCAGCGGTCATTGATTTCAAAGTCCAGAAGAACCTCCCCGTGAATGAGAAAAGGGAGTTTACATCAGAACAATGAAATATCTTGTTGCAATCAGGTGATAATGCTACGATTCACTTGTATCCAAAAGCAAAAAATTAATTAGTGCACTACAATCTACCTGCATAAATCAGATAAGTAGTGCACGAGAGTCTACCTGTATAATGCATCAAACAACTCAATCCACAAGTTGCTACAACATGCCACCGGATCCGCAACATTCATACAAGCGGACATAAGACGTTTATAAATATTACAAAAAAATGCCCCTGCACATGCACCGTAATTTATATACACATAGGTACACAAAGGGGTAAGTGTAATCATACACCCACATGGGCCCCGACGAACATGTTATAGGAATACATGTGACGTCTAGGGATGCTGCGCGGGTCGTTAAATTTGAACCTAATCATCCTAAGCAGGTATATAGGAGTCGACAAGGTTCAACAAACAACTATAAAATGCCCCCAAACACCTGCATGGGCCCCGGCGAGCGTGTTGTAGAAACACACGTGACGTCTAGGGATGCTGCGCGGGTTAATAAGTGAATTTAAGTTTGAACCCAATCCTTCTATGCGGATCAATAGGAGTCGACAGGGTTCGAACCATCAAACAAATAGACGGTTGTGGTGACCGGTATATTTATCTTAATACATTCATATAAGTATCTTTACGTATTTGATTGACGACTAGCCTTAATCGAAAGTTATCTCCTATTATCGGGAGAGGTAATTAAATATAGGGGCTTGCGCCTATAAGAAATAAGAACTCAGATCATAAAGTCCTCACAAAATGAGGGCGAAATCTCTGGGTAGTGTCTTATCTACAAACCCATCTGGCTTCCAAAATTTACCCCGGAACTTAATTCTATTAAAACTCCGACCCGAAGAAAAAAAAAAGTAACAAGTGGGCGGCGGCCGGGGCCGAATTTTCGGAGCCCACATTTTCTTGTCCTGAACTTCTGCAATATTTGTAGATAGTTTTAGTAGCTTTTAGATTTGTAACTTTTTGACTTCCTATGCTTCCCTGATTTGACCTTTTAGTGCTACCAAATGAATATGGGCTTTTCTCCCAGAATGGGCGTATGTAGTACTTTCACTTTTGCAAGTAATCTGCAGAAAGTGGATATTCTATATTATTTTTTTAATAATGAATTATTGATTAATACGTAGAAGTTGTCATAAATTGCACCATGCAATGCTGTGATGGGTACGTCTACTCATTTTCTTAGCAGCACACATGTACTTGTTCTATGCCTAATCATTGGAAGAGTTCTAGCTTTTCTGGCTATATAATTATATGAAAAAATTCCTTTACCTTTTAAAATGTTTGCAGTTTTTTTTTTTTTTTTTGAATTTCTAGATAGAATCATAAGGAGAAATTCACAATTTAAGTTGCTAATGTTAGCTTTATTTGCCTGACACTGGTTTCTGTACAAGTTTTTTACCAGTTTATAGCATTTAATTGTCTTTTTTTGGGAAGCATTTTTTTTTCTTTTATGCTTGATTTGTTCTTTGTTAAGGCTAATGTCTTTTAGTTCCTGACTGTACCACACAAAATGGTGGGACCTATTAAACGACTGATCCTGTTTTATGTTGTGAAGCTTTGCATTTACTAGCTGTTACGATTCAACTATTAATTTTTTGCATTCAATTCCTAATTTCTCCGCTACTTTCTCCATGATACAGCACTTGCCAAACCAGTCTTTGGTGCAACTGATGAGAAAAATAGGACAACCAAAGTGAAAATAAATGATAATATTTCAGGTAAACCACCGGCTTCATTATCTAAAGCAATTGAATCATCTCCTAGTGATTCATCTGCCACTTGATATAACCCAAGTCAATTAAATGATTATCTAGCTGCATTATCCGATGAGAGACAAATGGATCATTCTTCAGCCTCGTTTGCTCAAGCAGTGCAACTCAATCAAACCAAGGGAAAGAATTCCAAGTTCAATAAAAACACACTACCAAGTCTAACCAATGATGTAGACTGTTTGAAGATAGAAACAAATGTCATAAGAAAAAAAGAGGATTCACTGGATGATTCTAAACCTGGAACAGAGCTATTACATGACCAAGAGCAAGGAAAGCAGGTTCAGCTGAATCTTGCAATTGTAAGGGAACTACTTAATTCAGCTGGCTAATCTATTACACCTACCCCCTCTCCAACGGCCTCATAATTGTAGTTCTTGAGTATTAAACTTATATTTTAACAATCATCCTAGGTTGGTCATGTTGATTCTGGAAAATCAACATTATCTGGAAGATTATTGCATCTTTTGGGAAGAATATCCAACAAAGAAATGCACAAATACGAAAAGGAAGCTAAAGAAAAGGTATGGTGGCTGTTTTATAATATTGCTCAATTCTCAACATTTGAACGGGAAAAAAATTTGAGCCAGGATATCCTTCTGAAAATTTTTGTTAGGATGGTTCTCAAAGTCTTTGGATTTGTCCCATCCTGACCACTTTTTGCTTAGCGTAAAGTTGGAGATGAGTTCAATAATTTTTCCATTTGGGGATGCCATTATTGTGGTCATGTAATGTTCTTCAAGCATTGGTTTTCTTTCAGTGCAGCAAACACACACTATAACTGTCTTGATAAACCGAATCTTTCATTTTAACCTACCGGAGATGGTTTAATGCGGGTTATCTGACTTTGTTGCATTTCCGTGGTACAATGAATACTACTTTATTTATTGCTACTGTATATACAGGGCAAGGGATCTTTTACTTATGCTTGGGCCATGGACGAGAGCACTGAGGAGCGGGAAAGAGGTGTAACAATGACAGTGGCTGTTGCATATTTTAATTCAAAGAAGTATCGTGTGGTTTTGCTAGACTCCCCTGGCCACAAAGATTTTGTTCCAAATATGATATCTGGTGCAGCACAAGCTGATGCTGCTGTCCTTGTTATTGATGCCTCTGTGGGTTCTTTCGAAGCTGGTATGGAAGGCAGTGGTTTTGGGCAGACGAGAGAGCATGCTCAACTTATGCGGAGTTTTGGTGTTGAACAACTAATAGTAGCTATTAATAAGATGGATCTGGTAGCTTATAAGAAGGAAAGATTTGATTTCATAAAGACGCAGCTTGGATCTTTCTTACGCTCATGTGGTTTCAAGGAATCAAACGTAACTTGGATTCCTCTTAGTGCCATGGCAAATCAGAATTTGGTTACAGCTTCGTCAGATGCTCGTTTATCTTCTTGGTAAGCTTTCAATTCCATAATCTACTTCCATTTTGTATGGCAGGCTAATGGGAATAAGCTCTGGAATTAACCTCTTTTTTTTTCATTAAATCAGCAAAGTGCCATGGCCCTGTTTCAAATGCAATTTCTCGCTTAGAACTGTGCTACTTGTTATCTACTATAGTATTTATGAAAGTAACTTGTATTCTATATAAATCTTCTATATAAAATGACTACGAGAAGATATGCTCATATGATCAATGCAGTTAATAAAATAGTTTTAAAAATGTTATCTAGCACAATAATGTAATGAAATTAACTATGCTATTGCAGTCATATATGCAGCTCATTTTATAGTTTACTAAAACTTTGTTTGATTGATCCATGAAATTTAATTAGGCCATGATCTAATTATCTTGAAAAACTTGAACAACATCAATGGATACAGTGATTTATTAACAATTTTCTAGGTAGTCGTCATCATATTTTAGGCTCACAGAAAATTCAGAGCTCATTAGAGATTTTGCAAGTATACAATTGTGTCCTTTGCTCACGAGCAATCATTTTCTTTAAGAAAGCAGTATTGAGGTCTTAATGGCTACGAGGCCACCGACTTCAAGAAAAATAGTTCTCTTCTAATTTATTGTAGGACGCAAAGATGGTCTGAAAAAGCTGAAGATTAGCTTTGAAAACATGTGTGCACTATACTAAAACTATCATCTTTCCTTCTTTTGTCAACTTGCCTGCACAGTATTTATGCATTTTGGATCATCAACATTATGAACTTGTTATGTGATATAGGATGTCATAGGGTTTAGGATTCTAATGCAAAACTAAAATGAGATGCATAAAATCATGTAACAAGCAAGCGAAATTTACATGAAAAATTAATGATCTTAAAATTATTATTCGCCATTTGACTGAAAACCGAAAACATGAAAATTTGTTCAGACAAAAATTCAATGGATTTCTAGTATAAATTAATGATTAGAAATTTAGTATCAAGAAAGCCTCATAAATGTTTTGAAATTCATGCACTTGATGGGAATTAGATTGTATGAAATTAGACTAAAACAACCATTCTTTTAAATTAACAACAAAACCTTGACGAAAGAAGAAAGTACATAATTCACCAGCAAACAAGTGTCACAGTTGTATAATGAATCTCCCATAATTTTTTGAGTCTCTCACTTGATTAAGTAACTGAATTCCAACGGTAGGAATTAGACATCCAAATAGAAATGATATTCAATCACTAATTGAGTTTTTGATAAACATAGAAAGTTCTCATTAATCAATCATATATAACGTAACAAAGGATACATAAAAGCTTTTGTTTTCTTGGAAGAAATAGTGGATTCGTACTCTATATGCCGCAAGAAATGATAATAAAGAAAAGTTACTGGAAGAAAGGACTTAGAAGTCGTAGGAAATTTTAATGTAGATGAGGGTTCTATGACACTTGAGGAAGAAAGGTGCTGAAATAGAAGGCATACGACGCAATCACGGAAGAAATTTGTCGCACCTTTTTAAGGAAGCGTGATCAATTGATAAGCCTTATGAGGAGAATTGGTAGCCAAATAGAAGAATCAAATTATAGATTCAAGAAGGTTACAAGAGGATTGCAAGGAATCTTCTTGGCAAAAATAGGATGAGAATTCATTTAGGGATTCAGATACAAATGAACTTTTATGATTGGGCATCTCCTAGGCTTATACCTACCATCTTATACTAAAATTGAAAAAACAATAAAAAAATAACATTCAAAGAAAACTTTAACGTTTAGATTGATTGTCCTAAACATAAATATTGTGTTTTTGATGATTGTAAATTTTGAGATTCTCAGAACCATACAATAGTTTTCCTTCTTGTACAATCAAAATTCCAAATTTTCTGTCTCACCTCGCACTACTTTATGCCACTTATTTTGTTTATTCTCCTCCCAACATTCAGTTTGCACCAGCATTTTGGCTAGTTTGCCTTCTAAACAATCATCCCGGAAGTAAAGTTAATTAACTTTTTGTCTTTGCTTCTTTATGGATGTGTTATTAATTAAACATCTTATATCTCATTGCACTTGATTGATATAGTTTTTGAGGTGGAAGATAGATGTGTTCTTTTTATCTTAACTATGACAAATTTAAGCATCTTTTTGTTATGTTAATTAATTATTTCTTTCTTTAGCTTTTAGTGAGATAATTCGTTTGTCAGGTACCGGGGATTGTGTCTTTTAGATGTGATAGACTCGTTACAACCTCCACTACGTGATGTTTCAAAGCCTCTACGTCTTCCTATATGTGATGTCACTAAGTTGCACACACTTGGAATGGTGGCGGTTTCTGGAAAACTGGAGGCTGGAGCTGTTCAAATTGGTTCGAAGGTATCTTGCATCTCTTGAGTCGAATTCCAACTTTATCATTTGTTTTTGGTAGCCAATGCTTGTATATCTTATTCAATTACTGCAAGCAAGCCCCTACTTGTTCCTGCAAGATCCTAATCCTAACACTAAGCAGTGAAAGAATGATAAATTCATCTAAAATTGCATATTTCCATTTTGTTCTGCACATTATTCATTTTTTATTTATTAAAGAAACTTACATCATCCTGTTAGACCGGTCCAGCCGGTCTAGGCGTGACTGGCTTACGCACGAATGAGGCGGACATTATCCGCCTCCTGTTTTAGCCGCACGCACCGCAGGAGCTAACAAAGCATTTTAGGAAGGATTTTTTAGGGATTTGAGAGGGAAATTTGAATATAGGGACCGTTTAGGGATTTCCTTTTGATTTTCCAATTGGTAGAAGATCAGAGTTGTTCCCAAACAAGACACAAAATGCTTCTCATCGTGCTATATGGTTTTGAGGTTATGATACAAACCATTTTTTTTTTCTATTGAAGACCAATGTAATTACAATTGTGAGTAATTATTCCTATCCAAATATTTGTAGGTCTTAGTTATGCCTTCAGGGGAATTTGCTAGTGTTCGATCCATTGAGCGGGATTCTTCTGCTTGCAGCACTGCAAGAGCGGGTGACAATGTGGCTGTCAATTTGCATGGCATAGATCCTATCCACCTAATACCTGGTGGTGTGCTCTGTCACCCAGACTTCCCTGTGGCCGTGGCAGCAAGGCTAGAGCTCAAGATCCTTGTTTTGGACATCAAAATGCCAATCATAATTGGATCTCCAGTAATGATCAGATATTTATTCGCTTCTGTTTCTTGATAGTCTACTCAGACCTGATGACCGGTGTAAATGCAGGTTGAGTTCCACATACACCACGTAAAGGAAGCTGCCAGAGTTGTAAAAATAGTATCCGTTGTGGATCAGAAAACTGGAAAGGTTTCTAAAGGTGCTCCAAGAGTTCTCAAGTCTAAGCAAAATGCCATAGTTGAGGTAACATTAATAAGCCCTCGCCCACATTGCAACTGGTTAGACTGCAATTCTATATTTCAACAAACACTTCATCTGAAAATAATTTGATTGAAATAGCTATTTTTTTACGCCCACGCCCAGATCGCATCCAGATTCAGATATATTCGTAATTGATAAACTAAAGTAATGCAATAACATTGCCATTATCGCGCCTTAAAATGCTTTTTGAAGTGAAGTTTATCTCCTCTTTTTAAGTTTCATAAAGCTTTAAAATGGCTTAAACTACATGAAGAACAAAGAAGGTGAAAACTTATATGGAGAGCTAGAATGTGAATCCCAGACTTTTTTTCATTTAGATTTGAGAGATTATTACGTGCGGTGTCTGGGACGCGCCATGTCATTCGGATGCACCGGGCCCCGGGTGAAGTGACGCGTCTGGATTCGCCTCCAAACGAATCCGGACGCCGCACGTAATAATTTTCCTTTAGATTTTGTTGTCACATTCATCAACTAAATTCTGTCGTTTGTGTTTCGTAATTTCAGGTGGAATTGGATGGCGCTGTTTGCGTTGAAGAATTCACTAAGTGCAAAGCTCTTGGACGGGCATTCTTAAGGTCTTCAGGAAACACAATAGCTGTGGGCATCATTACTCGGATATTTGAGCAGAATGCATAGATTTTTAGGCATGATTAGAAGCCTGTTGAGCTTACAGGGTTCTATTTTTTATACCGAATGAGAATGGCGGACTATGCTGTATAGTATGAGAAGAGAATGCTAAAAAAAAAAAAGAGAAGAGAATGCTGAGAAGTTGAGGCGGTCATCAGTTTTGCTTGCTTTCATAAATTGTTATATTATTATTATCACTATTTTCTTAAGCATTTTAAATTCAAGTGCTTAAGATGTGGAAATTTTTTAAGAAAATTAATCCTCCTTTAAATTCATTTCGTGGGCGAAACCTTATAAGATTTGAAGAATTTAGTAGATGTAGATGATGGTTGTTACTTTTATGTGCAGAGTATCTGAGTAAATAATCATTTATTATTTTGTAGTCGGTGTATTATAACAAATGGAGGCACTGATAATATACAATTACATGGTCAATCTACAACAGAATATATATTATATATTTAACATACAAAAATCCTGCACGCAATTAATATTGTTTGAAACTATTTAAAATTTAAAATAAATTGGTTGATTAAATTTAGTATTGAATTTAATTATATTAAATAAAAAACAGTTTTAAAATAAATTATAATTCAAATGATATTAACATATGTGGTTAGAAATAGAAATTTATTGTTATTTATAGAAGATATTTTCATTGTAAGTTAGTATTTAAAATATATTATGAAATTGATAAAATAATTTTATTTATTTTAATTTGTAATAGCAGATATTGGTAGTATTGTGTTAGGCTCAATTTTTAAAAGGATCAGTTATTAGCATTGTAAATACTAAAATACAATGAATATCTTCTACAAATAACAATAGTCTTCTACTTCTAATTACAGATGTTAATATTACTTGAGTTAAAATTTATTTTAAAAATATTTGTTTATTAAATATAATGAAATTCAATACTGAATTTAATAAACCAATTTAATTTAATTTTAAAACAGTATATTCTAATATTTTTTAAAAATTTAATTCCAAAATTATATAATCTGAAAATTCCTAATATCCCTTATTTTATACAATTTGAAAGAATAAATAAACCAAAAATAACATTTCGTTTACTCCAGCCGTTTAAAATAATACTAAATAAACAAAATAATTTCATTTGCAGACAAAACACAATACATAATTGCTTTTTAATAAAAAAAAAGCAATAAAAAATTGCGTTTTTACTTTTTAGTAGCAACCGATAAACATAATTTTGTTTTGCGTTTTGTCTTAAAATTGAATTGCATCCTTTTTTTTTTTCTGACGATGCTTCTCCAAATTTAAGCGCTAATCAAGATCCTTTCTGAAATTCCAGCGATTAAAAAAAAACCTTAATGCAAAACCTCAGTGATCTATTGGTTAGAAGATCAGATTATTTCTCTAAAATAATAAATTCAAGTCACATATTTTATAATAAAAATATAGTATCGTCAATGGTGATGATCCATTAATAATCTTAAAAGAAAAAATTTTAAATTATATAAATTACCACCATTTACGAAAGAAGCGAGCAAGTAAATCACTCGTGCCGAAACAAGAATAGAAATCACATCAGAAGTTCTTGAGCAGGGAGCGAACCTGCTCAAGCGTAACGAACAGAACAACAGTAAAGGGTCCCTGGCGGGAAACGGTAGGAATAAAACCCTTATACAGAGCCATTGGCCCCTCCGCCCTCACCGTCTTCAAGGCGCAATCCACCGCACCGACGTAAGGCGGAGCCACCCCCATCTCCACTTTCATGTTCATCACCCTCGTCTTTACCACATCTACCGGATTCGAAACCGCCGCCGCCACCAACCCCGCCGCAAAGCTCGCCGCCACATGCGTCAGTAACCCGTCCGGTATCCACCCCTTCCCCAATATCGCCTCCTTTGCCTGATCATATGTTGCCAATTGCGAAGCCGTCACCATCATCGCCCTGTTCACCGTCAAAGCCGATCCTCGCCACAACGACCCCACCCCCTCCCTCCTCACCATCTGCATGATGGCATCACCGACCCCCTTGTAGTTCCGCCGCTCCGCGGCCGGAAGCCTCCCGTCCGCCTGCATCCGTACCATCGCCAGGTCAGCCGGATTTCCAACTGCCGCCCCTACCGCGCCGGCAATCAACCCTGCGGTGATCTTCTTGTACAAGGGAAGCGAAACTGTCGCCGGTTTCGGCTGATTTCCCTCGCCGTCTGCGGCGATGGAGTGGGATGACCATTTGATTTTAAGAATGTCGTAGAGGCCCATACGTGTCGTTGAGTATAGGGTTTGCCGCAGTACGGTGGCGGACACGCCGGAGAAGAGAGCGGAGGGGCCCTCAGCGCGGAAGATCTGCACGCCGACGGAAATGGGACCAGGGCGGCGCGCGGTGGGAGGAGTTTGAGGAATGGCGAGGCCAGATCCGGGGAAGGTTAGGGCAGAGCGAAAGGCGGGCACGGACGCGGCTGATTCGCCCTGAAGCTGCATCCGGACCTTGATGAGATCGAGCGGATGGGTGGAGCAACCGGCCACGATGGATGCGATCCCGCCCTCCACAAATCCCCTGAGACTCATCTCAATTGCAGCAAGGGGTTCGTGCGATATCTGAGGGCTACGAAATTGGGGGAAATTATGGAAGGAAGTTAATATCAATACATATGATTCTACCAGTCGGAGCTGGGATTCATCTCACTGGAAACCAGGAGATGGGAATGGAGGCCGAAGGCTACGGAAGAAAAGTGAGGAACGCGTGCTCGCTGAGACATGTAATGCTTTCTATATTGGTTGATCTGTAGCTGGCTGAGAACACCGGAGAAAATGGAGGTATTTATAGCCTTTTTCCTCGTTTGGAATATGGCAAGACAGCTCCGAAGAAAGCGAGAGGGGAAGCGGAAGGTGGGCAGCAGAAACAGGATTCGCTACAGGGTGGAGGAGTGCGGAGTCCACGTGCATTCCGACTCCAATTAATTTGTGCCGTATATATACTGTATATAAGTTGTACACACAGGTTAAAAACAGATTAATGGGTCGGTTCGGATTCAATTGATCAGAATCCTATTAACTTGAACCTAACTAGTTAATAAAAGGATCAAAAAAATTGGATGAAGTTGACCCACTGGCAACCTGATCCTGATCCAAGAACTCATATTAATTAAAAAATTATTTTTATTTACTTGTTAATAATACATTTTAAATTAATTGATAAAAAATAGAAGATTATACTTAGGACAAAAATATTAAATGAATTTTTTTTTGTCAAAATTCTTTTAATAAATGAGTTGGAATGCATGACCCAAATCTTACTTATTTATTAAATGTGTTAATTTAAATCTAAATTTTTTAGATCTGATATGGGTTGCGTCATTAATTGAAATCCCTACTTGTAAAGATATTTGTGATTTTGGTTCATATTTATTTTAATAATTGGTTCATATCCTCTTTGCTTTCAGCGCCAAGATTGGGATAATGTTTAATAATAAATCATAATAATTCACGCAAGGGCTTAAGTAGTTGTTTAAAGATGAAAAATAAAAATTTTAAATATTTTATTCATCGCACTAAGAGAAAAAGAGTAAGGCTAACCCAAAAAGGATCTGTTGGAGAAAACTATTTTGTAATGTTTTTTAGATTGATATATGTTTTAGTTCGTTTTTTTTTTAATTTAATTTTAATAATAATTTTTACCGTCAAATGTGCTGGTTGTATTTTAAGAAAATTACTAATTAACTTTAAAAAAAAACTCAACAGCAACTTTAAAACAATGTTTACCTCTCAACAAATCTATAATTATTTTTATGAACAAATCAAATTTTAATTATGGAGTCAGAAAAATAGAGAGAGAGAGAGAGAGAGAGAGAGAGAGAGAGAGAGAGAGGAGAACAATATATGCTTAACCAATAGATCTAGGATATGCATCTACCCCATTTATTTATGTCTTTATTGTATTTAGAGGGCTATAGAAAACGATATACCTAAAAATAGAAAAAAAAGAGTACAATACACCTTATGACTTATTGCAAATTGCAGCTGACATGTAACTCCATCGATGGTCATCCATGTAGCTCTCTACTTTTGCTCGACTTTTCATAGGTGAGTGTTATTAGGTGGGACCTCTGGATATGACTCGTTAACTACTACGAGAGCTTCTAGAAAATCATCAATATAAATCAATATCCAATGGAATCAACTATTATAACTCGTTAACTACTTATCCAAAATTTATAAAAACACCACTATTAGTTTCATGATATCTCAAACATTTTATTTAGAGCTTCTCCATATTTTTCTCAAACGAAAACTTTCCCTTTTTATAGCATGAAATTTTTAGCATCAAATATATCCTAAATCTTAATACACATTTCACCACCATCAAAATAACCCTTCACCACCCCAAGAGGACACAAATTAAGTTGCCTCCATCACAATAAAAAATTTATAGATCCTAAATCACTTTTCGTTGTCATCATCTTTAACATCGAGGCACGTATTGCATATGAAGCTGAAGCACATTGTCGACACCAACACTAACTTATAACATCAACAATAAGACCTATACAGGATTTTACGGTATCTAGATTCCTCTCCTCAAAGAAGAATGACCAAATAAATAACAAATCATATCTTAAAAAAAGCTCACATGCCATATAACTCTTCCAACTTCAAGAAATTTGTTATGTACAATTTATGTATAATCTATTCTTTGTGTATATCTCTTTAAAACAGCTCACATTTTTCTCAATAACAAGAAAGTGTATCATTTGTAATTAATAATAAACGTAGATTGAGAAAGCTATGCATGGAGCGGGGTGTTAATAAATGATGGAACTCATCAAATCAACTAGAACCTGACTAAAAAAATTCGAGTTTTGGTTGACACAATTAACTTTAGGGTCCGATTTAGGTCGAATGTGTTGGCACGATTAATTTTGGGTCAAGTTCAATTGACCTAAAAACTCGAAATTGTTCTAATTATCCTATGTCATTGGGTTAAATGGGCAGGGTTTGCATTAAATGTGTCATTTTTAAGTTAAGTGGGTTGCATTTAGTTTAAACGGATTGCATTGATCCAAATAAAAATATATACACGAACTATATAATAATCAACTCAAACAAGTCAGGTTTGAATTAGTCCAGTTGAGCTCGAGTTAGCTTGAGCTCAAATATTTTGATCCTTATTATAAAATAGTAGATAAAGATCGAGAATATTTAGAGTCAGATTCAGCTCAAATTGATATCTCTAATAATATTTATATCGTAGTGCATGTACATCTTTGTGACTAACGTTAAACGATGAAGAAGTCTTTTGTCATTTATTTTTATATGCATAATCAACCAATCATCTAAATGCACAAAATTCTGCAGCATTTAAGCGGACGCGAACATCTTAACTCTAAGCTAATCTGAAGTTTTTAAATATTTTATTTCAATTTCAGGTGTGCCATATCATTTTATTCCTCTCTTTATCGTAATCATTTTGTCCTATTTATTTATTTTAGTTCTTTATGCCTAGGATGAATCCTATAAACTACGGAGAGGACGGCAATTAGTGTCAGATTTTTATTGATTTTGAAGGATGGAAATGAATTGTATATACTAAAATTTTATTGATTATTTTATGTGTGTTAGGAATTACTTCTCTATTTTATTAATAAGACTCGATCAGCAATCGTATGTGACGAGGTGTGTTGTCTTATGTGAAGAAATTGTCGTGTTGTGTACATTGTTTTTATACAAGAGATAATTTTTTTTACCCAATCCGGCTTAGCGGGATTGATGGGCAAGCATGATTGAGAACCTTCCAACTCATATTCGATTTCTCTCTCATGCAGCGCCATTCTTTAAGTGAGAAGAAAATAACTGTGGGTCATGCACCTGTGAAGCTGGTTGTTGGTAGGCTCACTGATGGATTAGTTACGTCACCAAATGCATCTCTGGGGTGGCAGTGGGTAGATATACCCGTTCTTAATAAAAAAGATATTATTTTTTTATATATTTTTTTTAAAATAGGAATGATAATTTTATTTGATTGATATTTTCTTACTGTTTTTTATTATTTAAAAAAATTAGAATAAAAATATATTTTTTATAATCGAAGTAGCTAAAGGACTTTTTGACAGTTGCACTATTTTATAAAATTAGTTTTATGAGAAAATAAATTTTTTAAAAGCTACTATAAAAGCAACTTTCTAGTATGAAATTTTCTTGAAAACAATGGGAATAATTGTCAAATAAAAAATACGGTTACAATATGAAAAACAAATTAATAAGAAAGTTGTCTAAAATAAATCCTAAATTATATTTCTCAAAACAAATTTATAAAAAGTTATAGTCATCTCAAACGGATCCTAAATTTATAGCGATGGCCGATGAGCGAGTAGTTAGTATTAATTAAGGAATTGTGTAACTCTTAAATAAAAAATAAATAAATACTTTGTATGAAATATGAATGTTTGTTAAATTCTATTGTTTGGATAAATGTAAATAGATATCAACGAGAAGTTTAAACTTCAAGAAGGTCTACATACAATGATTTTGTATACACAAATAAAATGAACAGAAACAAAGTCATCATTTTTAAAAGTGCTATATTTATTTATTTGCAAAAAAATCAAATGAGCCCAAAAAAATATGTATGTAGAACAATGTGATAATATTTTCTAAATGATTGATCCTTTCTATTTCATATGATCATGGACCGATTCAATTTTATTTTTTAACGTGCGCAAATTCATTATATAAAAAATTAAATACAAAAAAATTATATATATATAAGCTGAAGTTTTAAATAAAATATTGTATTTCATTATAATTTATGAATTAAAAAATGATAACAAGC